ATTAGTTCAAATGTCGTGTCTTGTATGATGATGCTAACGTTAGATTTTTGTTATAAAAAATTAGTCACAAATTCACCAATAACTAAGCAAGTACTTCTGCTAATTATAACAAAGATGAGCATGATGGTAACTCAAATAAAAATATTAGTGATCAAATTAAAATAAAATTAAATAGGATGATCAATATGAAACTCACTAGGAGTTATAGGATTTAACTTGTTTTATACTCAAAAGGAAAATTTTCTACGTGAAAGTAATGGTGATTTGATTTTGAAGTATTACACATTACTTTTTGGAGCCAGGATGATACCTTTTATAAATGACGAAATTACACAAAACCAGATTTTTACTTTCAATTTCAAATTTCAGATATAAAATTTATTTATACAAAAATTAGATATTAATTCATCTCTATCTAAATTATATTTACCAAAACCTTAAAAATAAAAAAAATCATTTCACATCTTCATTCTCTCTCTAACCTCTCCTTCTCTCTCCTCTGGTTGTCTCTCTCGCCTCTCTCCTCTTCCCCTTTTTCTATCGCCTCTCTCTTCTTCTCGCCACTGTCATCGTCGAAGACCTCACAAGGCCGTCGTTGCAAAGTCGATCGTGTGCGATGGTTTGGGTAGCGTCGCGATCTGTGCGGTGGTGGTTCATCTTGTTTTTCTTTGATGAGGTGTACATCGGTTTGGGTATAGTGGTGGGGGTTGGGTGCGGTGGTTTCCGATATGGAGGGTTTTTTTCTGGTTGTTGGCGTGGTGGTGGTTCTGTGTGTTTTGGCGTGGTACGATGGTTCTGGTTATTCGTGGTGGTTGTTGACGTGGTGCGGTGTTTCTGGTTGTTGGCGTGATGGTGGTTGGGCGGTGGTGTGGTGGTCGGTGAAGGCGAAGGCGAAGGCGAAGGAGATGATGATAGGGTTGGGGATTTTTTTTAAGTTGTAGGATGGGGGATGGTGGTGAGGTCCTGTTGTTTTGGTAGTGGTCCGAAGTGGTGGTATAGATGTTGGATGCAGCACGTTGTGGTCGACGACGAAGTGTAGATAGTGGTCACGGTGGTGATTATCAATTTGAGGAAATGATGGTCGTGTTAATAGGGATGATGTAGGCGGTGTTGGTGAGGTTGTGGGGTGGTGCAAGGTGGTGGTGGTGGCGGCAATGGCGGCTATGGGTTTGTCACGATGGTGGTTGAATGACGTGACATGTAGTGGTGTTTTTCTACGATGTGTTGATTAGTTTGAAGTGGTTGTATTGTTGTCGGAAGGTGGTGGTGGTGGTGGTTTGGCGGCGAAGGTGGCGGTGGTGCTGCTGGAGGGAGTGGTGCGGTGGTGGTCACAGTGGTCACAAATTATTTGGTTGATTGTGACCATTAAATTGATTAATCTGTGACCAATAAACAATACGTGACCAATAAAATAAATAAATTGTGACCAAAAAATAATGTGTTACCTAAATTTTTTTTAATTTGTGACCGATAATTTAACAATTTGTGACTG